TACAACCGTGGCACCGGGGGCGAGGGGACGAGGAGCCAGACATCGCGTACGATTTTAATTTCGCGCTAGCTGGTTCAACGTCCCGGAGTCGTTGGTCTGCCTGGTCGGCTCTCGCCAATTTTTCAACCCCGATGGGAAACTCGACGTACATCAGTCGAGCAGCGCTGCCACGACTTTCAATTTGAAAATGGAGCGTCGAAAAATTTTCCACCTTCGTGAAGGAACGAAGCTCGATTCTCAGTCCTCGCCTTTTCTTTTTTTCACACACTTCGAAACGTCGTGGATACGTCTTTGCGTTGTACGTGTACACGCCGCCTCGACGTCGGATAGAAACTGATCGACGAGTTGAACAGACAACCTGTCCGTTCTCTCTCTCTCTCTCTCTCTCTCTCTTTTCTCCTCTCTTTCCCTATCGAGCCGTTCCTTCTCTCCTACGTCCGTGTTTCGCGCGGCATTAACGCGTGGGACGTCGATGAAAAATCGCGTCGCTAGCGCAATTCCTGCGGCGCAAATAAACAGGGTGATCGGCTGTTCCAGGTCGGCGCGCGATCGCGTCAACAGACTGCCTGGAGACGCCGATCGTTCGATATTTCCACCTTCGTCGAACCTCCGTCGAGATCTCGTCTCTCCTTTTTTCCTTTTTTTTCTCCCTCTTTCTATTTCCGTCTAATCGACTTTCAAGGTTAAGGGGTGTCTTCCATCTTCCCCGGAACGAAAGAGAGAGGATGACGCGGCGGTCTTATGCAAATTATGTTTCTCAGAGTCTCGATACGTGCCTACGTATTCCACGGCGATGAGAATGTGAGGAAATCATGACAACCGGGCTACAAGTAAACGCGAAAACCGCGTCCAAGACAAGGAGTGCAAAGCGTCGGCAATATCGGGCGAAGAAAATACGAGTCGGACAAGTCTCGCAACGCGATCAGGCCGCGGCGTGAAAGGTTCTCTACGGGACAACGAGCGAGCGGTGTTTAATGGCATTTAGGCGAAGGATAGGATGTTAAACAATAGTTTGCAGGAATAAATCATCCACGGCGTGTATTCGATCGTTCCGATACAACTTCTCACAAGGGTCAACACTTTACGAGGGTCTGTATTTTAACTTTTAAAATCGTCAAAGTGTTCCATCGAGGACGCAAGAATACTGCAGTTTTCTGCAGTCTGAAATCCGGATGCATTTATTCCGTACGCTAATTTAACACATGGAATTTAATATGTGTAGCATCTCTATCAGATCGATGATTCTATTCTGAAAGGATTATATTATAGCCCTAATGCACGACAACAGTGTATAGTCAAGCAGATGGGATACGAGTTGCATCTGCATTGCGACTTCGGTACGATCCCCGTATATACGTATACAGTTCGCCAACACATACGTGGTACATTTTCACATTCGTAACCTGTAGAACAGCATCTTTCCCTTCCTCTCTTTTTTATACGACACATCCGCACCATTTCTCCTTTTCATTGCTGCAATTTATTCGTTGCAATCTTCACGTTTATTTTCCTCGAGGAATTGAATTTTCTTCTGGCTAGAGAACTCCTGTCACCGTGTTATACGGTAAAGGGAATCGTTCCAAGTTCGAATTTCATTACGGCGAGGAAGACATTGGCGAAGGGAAACCTCTGAAAAGCGATAGATTATTTACCCATCGACCTGTGGACAGCTATCATCTGCGGAAGTAACTGGAACCGGAAGGAAACCTCTGAGAACGTTTACGGTAGCAAGGTAATCGGTAGGAATAATTTCGGAGATAATGGTTAAACCGTTGGTGATTATTAATTCATAGTAGAATGGACATCGTCCACGGTACATATTCCGGGGATGGAGAATATGCATGAACGTGCGCATGAGCGAGAAACTCCAAACTAGTAAGAAATCGGAGAATTTCAGGCAGAAAAAATTATACAAAACTTGCTGTGAAATATCACTGGCAGTCATTGCTCGAGCTGATGAGAAATTTTTATGTCAATTTTATGTTCCTCCTTCCTTCGGAGAAACGAGTTGGTTATGTTCGCTAGACACGATCGACGATTTGTTAGAACGGTGACGATTGATTTGAGATTGATTCGGTGACCAACCTAGGTACACAAGTCGTAACATCGAAGACTGACGTTCCGCCACGGAAACTCGCTGCTGGTAAGTCAGTCAGAACGACGGTGGTCCTTCTAGATTCTAAAATTACGACACTCCAGGCTTAAAGGCTCGTTGAACCTCGACCGCACGGAAAACTCGTTTTTCAAAACTGATCTTACATGAGCAAGAAAAAAATTTGTTTCGAGATTCAAATTCATTTCATTGAATGCTTAAATATTCGTTTCGTCACAGCTATTTCTTTCTTTCTTCG